GAGGGGGGGGGGGGAGACGGAAGGGGAGAGAGGTGGAGGGAGGAGCTGAGATTTTTTCTCTTATTAAAAATTTTTAAAAGATTTTATATGTGCCAAATCAGCATTTTAACAAAAAAATTTAACAGAATCTCACGACGGGACTAAATTGATGTGTGAGGTAACATAGAGGACCAATGATGTCACAAAAAAAAACACATAAAGAACCAAATATGATAATTTTGCAAACATCAAAGACCATTTGTGTTAAAAACCCTTATCAAATGGAGTCTGGGGCAACGTACTAGAGGTTGGGTGGTCTTTCAATATTCTTTCAGTACATTGAACATTTAAAATAAATAACCACTTATTCATAAAATAAATAAATAAGTTCATAATTAAAATTTGCTGGCATAAACAAAAGATTAATTTTATTGTTCAAAACTTCAAACTTCAAACCAAACAAAATGGAAAATGAAAATACTTGAACATAAAAATAGCAACTTTAGGTAACGGGTTGTTTTCCCTTTGCTTTTGCATTAGTCCTTGAGCTTGAGCTCCCTCCAAGAGCAAATTGACTGGGCATAGGAGATTGTGAGGATGATGTTTGGCCAGGAACAACTATATAATCGCCCTCCAAGTCTTTCCATCTCATTTCCTCCAATTTCTGTCATCTAAAAAATGGGATTCTTGATCAATATCTCATTCCTTGAAAGGCTCATCTTTGTAGCTCTCACTAAAACATAATTGGAGACGGATATTGGAATTGATATAAACCAATTGATTAGATCTTGCAAATTCAGTATGTTTCTATTAATATTATGGATTTACGAATACATGCTCCAAATTCTTTCGGCCAATGAACTTTGTATCGGTTGAGCCAACACCTTTGTCATTTGTAAAACTATATATAAAAATAATATTGAAAAATATTGAAATTACATTTATACCTTTTTAGCCACCTCTGCTAATTTTGATGTTTTTGCACCGTATGTTGACCACCAATCAATAAGATCCATAACCACAGCATGCTTGGGCCTGTAGTGAACCATAAAAACTTTTTGTTGATGGAAGCGAGCGAATTGTTCTCGTAGCAATCAAGCCTCACCTTTACTTTCTGATATCGTATCAAAGGCTTTCACAACATTTTTCATGACTTCTATGTCTTCATTAAGGCTTTTTCTAGCCACACCCCTAGTGTTATTTGACTTAAATAAACTTTATCATAAAACCTCAATGTTAGGGCGAATGCAAGGCAATACATGAGAATATTCATTTTTTCCCACCTACAAAGCACAATTTCTTCAACATTAGGAAAATATTCGGCATATATTTCACTTGCCATAATGTCTTTTATTTCGCCAAGCATATTGTCCATCTTTTCATAAATTTCACCCATGTTTTGGCCTTCACCATCAGCAAATTTTACTGCAAGATAAATTGACTTTGTGAAATCTAATATTGCCTTAATATGTTCCAAAAAATTATCATCTTGCACGGTATTTTGAAACAAAGTAACTAAATTCCTTTTGCCTTCATCTAAATTTTTCAACAAATCTTTCCATGCTCTTTGAATAATAGTAGTTGTGTTGCTTCTCTACAATCAATTAGTCTTTTTAACAAGATATAATTTGAAGCAAATCTTGTTTTAGCTACTTTCAGTAACTCCAAATGTGACACACTCTTCAAAATTGTCAAAGCATGTGTGGGTTAGAAAAAATTTGACAATTAACTTTCGAGTTTTATAAATATTTGTAAGACACTCAAATTTTTGTGCATGATCTTTAAAAATGAGATTTAAGGTATGAACAACAAATGATGTAGAATCTATAAGTGAGAGGAACATGGAAAGGAATAAGAGATGGGGCAAAAAGAGGAAAACAACAGTGGGTAGGTACAAAGGAGAATAAGAACCTCCACGAATGAGCATAAAGCCCAAGCAAAATCATCAATAGAGGGTGAGGACACTCTCAAACAAAGGGGGTGCAAACCTAAAAAGATGAGAAAGAACAAAGAGAAAAGTTGAAAGAGTCCACTCCCATTGAATTGAAGAAACTTTAAAATATATATATATATATATATATATGTGACATACATGAAATGAAACGTAAAAGTTGAGAAGAATTTTAGTTAATTTTCTTTTCAAAGTCTATGTTTCTACTTCATTCGTTCTCTCTTTCCTCAATCCTTGTTCGTCTCTCATTTACCTCATATAGTTTCTCTCTATCTGTAGCAAAAATATTTTAATTTCTACTTGATAGCCTTTTTTCTTGTTTTTTGAAGGGTTTATATATATTTATTTTACTTCTCAATGTTGGAAGACAATTTAAATTTCTATGGGCGACGTATGTATATATATATATATATATATATATCATCCTAGTTTACTTCAAAAGTCATAACTAAAAAACCTATATAACAGTTGAAATTTGAAAACGATCAACCTACCAACACATAATCAACACATTTCGTGAAGTAATAAGTTATCCTGCTTGTAAATGGAAACAATGGTTCACCTTTCACACAGGTCTTGGTCCCCTTGGACTCTCTTGATCTATCCAAATTAACATTCAACTAAAAGAAATCACACTTTGATATAATATAAATCATATTGATATGTTTAAATGATACATGTAAAACACCTGGTCGCCAGCTTTATTGGTCCTTAAACCTTATTTGTAGGTTAGTGTAATTCACTTGAATAATAATAATAATATTATCACTAACACGGACGGAGCTAGGATTTGAAAAATGGGGCGGGCTTGATCTCTAAGCTAATTCTTTTGTTTCTTGAGTGAAATCTCTTGCAACTAATTTAGTCCCCAAATTAAGCTACAAATTAAACTTGAGATTAACTCCTAATTGAACTCTCATAATATGTAATCTCGAAGTAGCTAAACAAATTGGTTTTTTGTATTGTTTGAAAAACTAGTTTTAACTTAGGGTTTTTCACAGCAATGATCCCTCAACTATACCTCTAGTTGCATTTGGGTCACTGAACTCAATTATTAGTGGCAGAGGTCACTCAACTAGGTGTTTTGTTGCACTATTAGTCCTTCCATCAAGTATGTGACTTTTTCCGTTAAAAATGAGGGTAAATTTGAAAATTCACCCACAACCCTCCCTTTCCTCCACAATCCTCCATTGCCGTAATCCAATGAATGGAGGAAGGATTATGAAGTCTTTGCATTCTACCAGCAAAACAGTCTCGTGGTATTTGATGAATGGAGGAACTATAACCCAGTCAAGGAAAGTTCAAAGCTTTAGATGTGCTATTAGGCTCTTGATCTTGAAAGGCACTTCGCCTACTACGACGCATACCACAACAACCCAATTAACATTTTGATACACACTGTGTTTGTGTGGCTGATATTTTTCACCTCTCTGGTTCTTTTGTACTTCACACCTTCTCTGTACACTTTCCTAGCTGGGCTCAGTCATGGTTTTCTGGTGAATTTTGGGTTTGTTTTCACTGTGATCTATGCCTTATTTTATGTTTGCTTGGATAAGAAAGCTGGATCTTTGGCTGCTTTGCTCTGTGTTCTCTGTTGGGTTGGAGCCAGTTTGCTTGCTAGTTGCCTTGGGAGTAAGACTCGGAGTCGGCGACAGCAGAGGAAGGGTCAGTGTTTAAGGGGACATAGAGGGTAGAGAAATGGTGGGTGTGGGTTGTGTTGTGGTAGTAAACTTTGTCACGACTGTTGTGGCAATGGAGAATTGTGGAGGAAGGGGAGGGCTGTGGATGAATTTTCGAATTTACCCTCATTTTTGACAGAAAATTTAACAGAATTTGACAAAGGGACTAATGGTGCAACAAAACACCTAGTTGAGTGATCTCTGCAACTAATAATTGAGTTCAGTGACCCAAATACAAATACGGGTATAGTTGAAGGACCATTGCTGCGAAAAACTCTTCAACTCATGTCGTGGGGCGGAGAGAAGTTAGGTGTTGGGACTTTAGGAGTTAAATGCTTTGAAGAATCCAAAAGTTACAGAGACATGATACATGATGTGGATTTGGAGCTGTCCCTCTCTACATTCCAACACATTCAATTGTCAAAGATGAACCAATCATATTGAGCCACATAAACAATGAAAAGGGAAATAAATGCCACAGTTTTCTTTGGTTGTGTCGAGGTCTTTTCACTACTCCCCCTTCCTCCAAACAACCCACCCATTGAATTGAATTGAATTTGTTGTAGGACAACATCATCTCTTGGAAAGGAGCAAGCAAAGCATGGTGGCATGACATGACTGTCTTTCTCTCTCCTCTGCACCAGCTTGTAACTTATTGAGAGAAATTGGAAGCATTGGAGTTTGCTCAAATTTGGTTTGACATAATCGCCCATATTTATTATTATTTTTAATTCCTCTTTTCTATCTCACTTTGGACCCTCCGAAGAAAGAAGGGTCTTCAAAGCCCGTGTCTCTCTGTCTCCGCCAAACGTATTTGATCTTTTCCTCTCATGGGTTTCGTTTACTCCATTCATTGCATGCTTCTGGTGTCATATTTTAGCTGAAGCTCTTGGCTTTCAATCTCTCTGGGTTGGCATACTTTGTGGGTCTGAAGTTTTACTTGGGTTTAGAGTTGTGGGTGTAAATGGCCACCAATGCATCTGGGTTGTTTACTACTCCTACAGTTCCAAACCTGAGGGGGAAGATTAAGCCTTCAATACGTATTTTTGGATCTGGGTTTCGCTCCCCTGATGGAATCTCCAAGAGGGTATTCTGCTCCAGTACCTTTGAAGGCGCAGAGAAGCACGTTGGAGCTTCCCCTTCTGAATCTAGAGCACCCAGGTGAGTTCAGTTCCATTTTTTCCCGTTGATTTAGCCCCGTATTGTTTCATATGTTGGATTATATGGTATAGCTGTATTTTCTGTTAGAATATTATTGAACTGTGTTTGAAGAATACTTTATGGATTTTGATTCATGATCTTTTTTTTTGGAAAGCCTTATGATGTGCATTCAATCAATGAGTTATTTGTTTTATGGATTTACTTGTGCTGCTCGATTTGTTTTGATAATATGATTATTGTTTCATAGGCATGGATGACATAACATTGCATGTGCATATTCTGTTTGAAGGGATGGAAATTAAATTCATATATGTAAGCTTTTGGTGTACAAATTCTATAAATTTCATTTATTTCTTACTTTTAAGCTTCTCATGAGCTGGAATTTTATGGTGCCTGCTTTCCCATATAGAGACATGCAAGTATTTTTGGGGTTGCGATGAACAAGAGGTTATGTGAACTTTGTGAAGACATTGGATATGAGTCTCTAATTTGTTAGCAATTACAGTTCGTACTGGCTGCTGGACTTGAACTGGAAGGACGTTGTGTTTAATTCAAACACAATTGTAATTGTTTGTAGAGCTAAATTTCACTAAGGAGTAGAACTGAGTTCAATGCAAAATCACATTACCTCGTTTGCCAGTTTGTTAGACATATATAAACTGACTTTTGTATGCAAGAACAAATAGTCTAGCAGCAACCGCTTAGTATTGGTTATGGTTCTACTGAAGTAATTTTTGGAGTCAGAAATGATCAAATGTATATGATTTGTGAAATGTAAGGTGTATCAGTTCCCTGGTTAGTAAGTGAAGTTTATTTTGGATACTTCTGTTACTTAAAAGTTGAGAATTATATGATCTTATTCATCTCCATTGTAGGTATAAATAGAATTTACAAGGCTTAATCAACTAAGCCAATTACAATCAATTTGAACAAACCAAGCCGACTTTCTAGTAATGACAAACAATTTAAGTGTAAGATTAGGTAAAATATCTATATATATTATGCGTGTGTGCAAGGCTTAGATTAAGGCACAACTAAGGGGATTGTCTAACAAAGCATGTTTATGACTAACTTGAGGGTAAAATTAACTTAAGAGTCTTTCTCTTATGTAAATCAGTTTGTGGGCATGAGCTTAGGTGCATCAGTATCTGGCAAAACTATTAGATCTCCCTTTGATGATACTTCTGGATGAGGTTACAACGATCATATTGGTCATTTGAGGTTGCTTGTATCAGTGTTCTTCCAATGGCTACTTCATCTATCTGCTCTCTGTCTTCTCTCTCTCTCTCTCTCTCTTCAAGGAGAAGAATGTTTTAGATGAAGGAAGGGAAACGAATGCAATAATCATGAAGAGACTAAAGGTTTAACATATCAGTTTATTCTCTTTTGTAGACTGGCTGAAGTTGGAAAAGACTTTTCTTGCCTATTGTCGTCTGGTTATCTTATGAACCCCTTGTATCAGTGTTCTTCCATTGGCTACTTCATCTGTCCTCTCTCTCTCTCTCTCTCTCTCTCTCTCTCTTCAAGTGGAAGAATGTTTTAGATGAAGGAAGGGAAACAAATGCAATAATCATGAAGAGACTATAGGTTTAACATATCAGTTTATTCTCTTTTGTAGACTGGCTGAAGTTGAAAAAGACTTTTCTTGCCTATTGTCGTCTGGTTATCTTAAGAACCCCTTAAAACATGTTTTCTTGAAGGATTTCACATTGCCTTTAGGAATAAGTTGGTGATGCATCCATCAGTCTTCGCTTCTATCTAGTTACCAGTAGTGGCCTTTTATAATCGAATTAATGTTTTTTTCTTTTCTCGCATTTGGATTCTCTTTGTGCTCAGTAGCCATCTTCTTTAATGGCTTGGAAAAAGGTGCTAAATGTAGAATATAACCAAATTACTGTAACCCTTTATTAAATGCCTGGTCTGTTGGTTGAATTCTGTCCTGAATGAGTTGGTTATCTGTTTTCTTTAACTTAAGTTTGATTTTTGTAAATGGATTTTAATATTGTCTCCCACATCAAATTATAATTTTGCTAGGTAAAAATTAGACCGATTTGGACCTTGGCTGATTCTATGTGTTTTAGTACTGAGGTTGCATTTTGGTTAAATGTAGTAAGAGTTCAAGTTGGTAATTGATAATCTGACTGATCTTAAATTTCATCTCTTGTTCCCATGCTTGAAAATATATATTATTACAGGCTTGTTAGTAAAGGCTGCAAGTTAATTGGATGTGGCTCGGCGGTACCCTCTCTTAAGATTTCAAATGATGATCTTGCAAAAGTAGTAGACACTAATGATGAATGGATATCTGTTCGCACTGGCATTCATAATCGACGAATTCTTTCAGGTTTGTTCATACTTGCTGTGCATGATAATGTCATAAAGTTAGTAACTGTAAACAGTTTGAGGTGGCTTAGCATGCGTTGAGCTTAACTTAAGGAATTCAGCTTCATAATTTCATATTTGCAGTGCATGTGCACTGCATGACAAGAGGAAACTATCTGATGGGCCACTCAGCTTGATGAGTCTGAGCTTACCTGGGATTAGGTTGGTTAGCTAGCTGCTTTTATGACCCTTTTTCTCTGCCCCTATTGAACAAATATGTTACATAGTTACCTTGGCTTCACCATTCTATTCAGACAGCTAAAATGATATGGATATTGGGAAATTTGACCTGGTTGATGTTGCTAGTGTCAGATGTGTAAGAGGCTAAGAGTGACTTTCTTGTGGTTGTGCTGGATATTCTAATGTTTTTACCTTTTATCTCAACTCATATTTTATACAACTATGTGTCTCTTTTCTGGTCCTCATGTCTAGGTGTGATGGTTATTTTATTGTACCCTTTCTATATATTGACATCCTTATTGTAAAATATCAGGCAAAGAGAGCCTGACAACGTTAGCAGTAGAGGCAGCACTTAAAGCTCTTGAGATGGCTGAAGTTGATGTTGATGATGTGGACCTAATCTTGATGTGCACATCTTCACCTGATGATCTTTTTGGCAGTGCTCCTCAGGTATATAGATCATTGGATGGTATATACCATATCTGGAAGGTCAAAAAAATTAGGGGTTGAGCTTCTTAGTGGTGTATTATGTGATAGTTTTGTCAATATTGATCCCTTTTATATTTTATTATCTATGCTTTGATGGTGTATAAATCTCTAGGTAAAATGTTTTCATTTATCTAGGTTTGTATTTGGAAGTTATCTTAAGATGAACAATGAAAAGACCATTTCCTATAAGAGGAAAAAAAGAGAAAAAGAAAAAAAAAAGCAAACGTTCACTGCTTAGCTTTCCTTATTTTATATAGGGGTTCTATTTGGGACAAAGTAGATCCTTGCCTCCTTATGGGCATCTTTGACTAAGCACTTTAGAAAAGTTCCCTTTAGTGATTCATCTTGACTGGACTGGAGTTTTGTACTAACTGTGGCATGTTTTTTTTTCAATCCGCTTTGTTTGCTTTCTTCCAAGTGTGGCTTAGCTTATTTTGTTTCAGTTTTCTCTGTATAGACGGAATTCTTATCCATCCGCTCTTATAATTTGTTTTCTTTCTTTCTATAGAATTTTCTTTTAGTATAAAAAAATTTCCAGTAGGTTATTTTGTTGATTGAGCTTATTGTGCTTATTTAGTTTTATGCTTTTTCCGTGGTATGGGCCTTTGACCAAATACTGAACTATATTGATCACACATGATATAATGAATGAACGACTGAGTAATACCTTATTTTGCATGTTAGAAACTACTGTAGTGTAAGAACAGCTAAATATTGACTAATTGAGCTTGTAATTTTAATAAATTCACTAACAAAATTTTACTGTCTGAGTGTTTATGTTGTTTTATTCAATATGGTAGCTTCTTAAGTTCTTAAATTTGTTTTATATTGTAATTTCAGGTTCAGAAAGCGCTTGGCTGCAAAAGGAACCCTTTGGCTTATGATATTACAGCTGCCTGTAGCGGATTTGTTATGGGTCTAGTATCAGCTGCTTGTCACATTAGGGGTAACGACTTGGTTTACTTTGCTGTAAGGAGGCCACTGTTACTTTCATGTTTCATTGATTAAACTATAATGCGCAAACTACAGGAGGTGGATTCAAAAATGTTCTAGTTATTGGAGCTGATGCTCTTTCTCGGTTTGTTGACTGGACCGATAGAGGAACGTGTATTCTTTTTGGGGATGCTGCTGGTGCTGTATTAGTACAGGTGTGTTTATGTGTCTTATTGAAGTTTTGACATATCTAACGTGCCCTAGTTTTCTAGATAAGGGTGGTGGGTTCCCTGTCGCCTAGTGACTTTGAACTTTGCTTTATTTGGCAGCAAATTCTGTTTCCAATTTTTTTGAAACTCATATCATACTATCTTAATTTCGCCATTTCCAAAATTGATGAGTTAAATTGTTAGTGGAGATCTAGTTGCGAAACATTTCATTCCACTTATTTGAAATTGCCATAATTATGTAGGCCTGCGATAGTGAGGATGATTCTTTGCTTGCTTTTGATTTGCATAGTGATGGTGACGGAAACAGGTTTGTGTTTTCTCGATTTCTGTTTTTTGTTTTTTCTTTTGACCTTTTTAGCGAATGCAATATCTTAAGGTGTTCATGTTGATTATGACCGGGGGCACTTATCATTTTTTCCTCTCTGATACATGACTGCTCGACTCTCTCTCCCTCTCTCTGCAGACATCTAAATGCTGCCTTCAAAGAAAGTGAAACAGATGAGTTGGGTTCTAATGGTTCAGTCTTAGGTTTCCCTCCAAGACGCGCCTCATTTTCCTGCCTTCAAATGAATGGCAAAGAGGTCTTTCGCTTTGCTGTGCGCGTTGTGCCACAGTCAATTGAGGCTGCCCTTGCCAAGGCTGGTCTCCCGGCATCTAGCATTGATTGGTTACTGCTCCATCAGGTATGAAGCATGATTTCTTTGGACAGTCCACCTGGGGCTTTGCGTGTAATTCATCATTTGACTATTATATTTTTCTCACATCATGTCGAATTTCAAGAAAAATTATTTTAGGGTGGAAAATAGACATATCTAAGGCAAGTAACATCAGCCTAATAATTCTTGATTTCCAAAACTATACCAGCTTGTCATGTATGTTAAGTGAATTAAACTGGTACAATTCTGAGAATAATGCTTTGTTTTTTTCTTCATAAAAAATATAAGTTTGCAGGAAAATAGTTCTTAAAGTTAGCTTCTTAATCACCTAAGGGTTTCAGAGTAAACAAGCGACATTGTATTTATTGTTCTGATAATGATCAGAGGTGATGGGTAGTGGGTTCTAACGAAGATAAATCAATGCAGGCAAACCAGAGGATCCTTGATGGAGTTTCTTCTCGCATGCAAATCCCATCAGAACAGGTGATTTCAAATTTGGCAAACTATGGTAATACAAGCGCTGCTTCGATTCCTTTGGCATTGGATGAAGCTGTGAGAAGCGGGAAGGTGAAACCAGGCCATACGATTGCAGCTGCCGGCTTTGGAGCAGGTCTGACTTGGGGTTCTACTATTTTCAGATGGGGTTGAAACTTCATCTCTCCTGCCAAGATAGAGAACATCCTAATCCTATGAAGCACAGTTTTGCAATTCTTGCATCACATTCCAAATGTGTTGGATGTTGGGGGGCGTTTCAGTGTCATAATCTCCATCAGCTCCCTTTTGTTTCCTTTCATTCCTTTTTTGTTTCCCTTTTTTTTGGTAGCTTTGGTACCCTCAATAAAAATGTATTCTTTCTTCCTCAGTCCAATAATTTTATTTATTTTTGTTTTTTGAGTCACAATTCTGTATCGTTATCTCACTTGTGTAATGAACATTTTCCGAAACCAGAGTAGAGAGAACAGAGTTCAAATTTATCTTATACTGCAGAATTGGTTTAATAACTAAGTACAAAGACAAACAAATTAATAATTACAATTACAGAATGACAAGAAGAAAAGGCAAAATCTCAGGTAGGTCACTGAGCAAAAACTTGACCTTTAGATTTAATCTTCTGCAAGACACCTTCAATTGCAATATCAAAAGCATCTTTCTTGGCTCTCAAACAGATTGAACTTCCATGCTTCCTATACAGAATTCTTGGTATCATCTCCAACACTCTCTCCCTCATTCTCCTGACTTTCCCTCTTGGTATGCTCCTAAGCACATCCAAAATCCGTGTCTCCTTGAACACCACATCCTCCTTGGCTATAAACACCGAAAACTCCCCGAACTGATCCTCTGGCAGGTGCCACCGGTACTGCGCCCTAGCGGACGATTCCTCAAAAAACACGGGAATGCAGCCGGCAACAATGCTGTCGAAGGTGGACCGCCTGGTCGGGGTGTCCCCAGGAGGCTGCAAACAAAAACTTGCCTGCAACATCGGCCTCATGAACCGAATGGGATCATGCTCACAAATCCCATTAGAGCAATCTACAACGTCACAGAGCTTTGAAAACCCACCAGCACCACTTCCATACATGCCCACATTGTTAACATTTTTGACATTTTTGTTCATGGTGTTATTTTCACACTCATTTCTAATGCTCCTCCTAATGGTGGGATTACGTCCAACCCCTCCACCGCCGGCAAACATCATAAGCGTGGTGCGCCGAGACCTCCTCGCCCTCTGCACCCAGCTCTCCAACAGAGACAAATTGGGCGGATGAAACGACGTCGGGTAAGGCACGGCGTGCTCCTGCCAGGGCCAGGCGCGAGCTTCGACCGTCAAAGCCGTCACATTGTAAAACGGGTCGTTTCCCAGCGGCTGAGAGAAATCCCAAGCGGGTCGGGCCAGAACCATGAAATGGTCATGACCCATTTTCCGATTCCACGACTCGGGCGAGTCGGTGGTCAAGAACTCGAACAGATTGAGGCCCTGCTCGGAGCTGGAGTTGTAATCTGGGCCGTACAGGTAGCGGAGGGCGTCGATGCCGGCGTAGTAAGGGAGGTAGATGGCGTCGGCGGCCTGGGGATCTGCGGTGAGGCATGGGTATTCGAGCATCCGACGGTGGAAAATGAGCTCCAGCATTAACGGGTCGGTCCGGTACCAGCTGTGGGAGAGGTTGTGGGTTTTCTGGCCCAGGCCATGGTTGGCCAAGTAAGGGCAGAAGTCGTCGAACAATGGGTAGCCGGAGCAGTTTGAGAGGAGATCGAGGTTGAAGACGGGCGGCAGCCGTCTGATGTGGATCCAACGGTTGGTGCAGTCCGAGTCTGATTGCTGATGATCAGGATTGGTGGGGATTTGGGTTGAGCTTGTTTTTGTTGGGAATTGTATGGTTATGGAGATGGAGAAGAAGAGGATTAGTAAAGTGGACTTGTTGGAGGCCATGGAGAGATGCAGAGAGAGAAAGATGGGGGAGGAGAGAGAGAGAGATAGATTGGAGGAAATGGGTTATAAATTTTATTTATGGTGGATATTTTAGAGTGAGATTTTTTTGTAAAAATTTTGTTTTGGTTTTTGATGGCGGAGTGTGCTGTGTGTGTTTGGTTGTTCTATCTTTTCCCTTTTGAACCTCATTTCACACCACACCGTTCACAAAAACCCACAAGGAGTTGGTTTTTGTGTTTGTTGTTTTTCCCTATTTTTTCACTGTTTTTTGTTCTATTTTGTTTTGACAAAGAAAATAGTTGTCGTCTTGTCTACAGGGAGAGAGAGAGAGAGAGAGAGAGAGAGAGAGAGAGGAGGTTGTTTATTTTTACTGCATGAGATGAGTGCATGGTACGTGGGGTTTGACCCGTCAATGTCGGTGAGGTGGATATAACGGCTCGGGTAATACAGCGGCGTTTCCTGCTTCGGCGGATTTTGGCTTGTTTTCGGCGCTTTACAATACAAGTATTTATTTGTGGATTTTAAATTGGGGGATTGATAATTAGGGGGAGGTCTACTTGTAAGTCAAATGGGCAGCAAATAATAAGTGAAGTTCGTGAGAATAGCAAACTAGAAAGACTTGTTCTAGTCTGAATGTTCCTTAAACACAAAACTAGATCCCCAAATTTATTTGAGCATAATCTCAAGAAACTTGAAACCCTAAGCTTAATTGGGTTTGAGCTAAATGGATTGAATCTATTAAAAATAAAATATAATTTGTATGTTACAATTAATGTAACTCAGCAAAAAGAGTCCAAGTGTAAGTGTTAAATAATTGAATTGAAATTGTCAGTGGGATATAGCTCACTTAGTTGAGCTATTCCACTTCCATTCTTGTGAGCAAAAGTTTGAACACCGCAGACACCCATGAATATTGTGTAAAATCCCCTACTCAAATAATTGAATTGAAAAAAGCTAAATCATAGAATGACGCAGAAATCGAACACCGCAAGCTAACGTGTGCCTCATGGCTTGTGAGAGAGGTGTGAGCGGTGGCCGTTATGGCTTGTGGTATGGTGAGGTTAATCCTTGATAGTGGCCATTATGGCTTGTGGAAACAGGCTTAGTATTGTCCATTTTCTCTTTTAGCAGGAGAGACTTTGGTCCCACGTTCAGTGACGGACCCAGGATCCGAACTCCGTAGGGTCATAGTGTAAAAGTTCGAAAGAAATTTTAAAAATGGATTATTTTTCTTATCTATTTTTTCTCTTCCAAATTTTATTCATTTATTAGAAAAAATATACTTTGAATGATTTCAATTTGTCATTTTTTTTTAATGTATTTTTTGAGTGTTTCAATTCATAAAATTTCAAACCAAATCTATGCCAATTAACCAAAAAACGAAAAAACCACAACTGCCTAATCAACAAAAATAAGCAAAAACTTCATCCAACAAATCAATCTAATACATATAAATCATAAATTTCATCCAATCAATTATAAATTTGATTTCCATTAAATTAAAACCAGTATACATGCATTTTGTTCTAATTACAATGAAGAAAAACAAGTTTTTTTTTTTTTTTGGTGTGGAGAAATTCTTAAGTGTTAAATAGTGGTAATAAAACCATATTGTGGTCATCCTTAGATAAAATTACAAGTAAAGTTCATCATTCTTGGATTCTAATTTCTAAGCCAGCCATTGGAATTTGAGAGGAAGAAATAATAATAAATGAAATAAAGTTGACTTGTAGATTCCAACAACAAAGCAGGTTAAAAAGATTAAAAGAAAACAGTGTTATAAACTAAATAGATTGAGATTGAGAAACTGAAAGATTGAGAGAATTCAAAGGGAGAGAAATCCTAGTTAGGGAGTTTTATTTAGATTGATCAATCATTACAATGAAGATGAGGCCTCCCTTTTTTTTTTTGATGAATAGAGGCCTCCCTTTATAGAAGGGAGGAAACGTGCTCATCAGGTATTGTACAGGGAAAAGGAAAAACATGTGGGCTCCACATGCATATATTTACAACAAACAGTTTAATGTTGGAGAATGGAGGGATACGGAAGGGTTTTTAATTTTAAAAATTTTCCTGGGCCAAAACGACGTCGTTTTGCCCAGGTGTTTTAAAAAAAACAGAAGCGCGTTGCGCTGCTTCTTCTTTCTCTTGCGCACAGCTTCCTCCCTCTTCCTCTCAGGCAAAACATACAACCCCTGGGAGGGCAATCCAAGGGGTCCCACAGCCAGCTCAAGTGGACCTCCAACCCTATTTTCATGGCTTCCATAGGGTCGTTTGACCCCAGTGACCCCACTGTGGGTCCGTCGTGGGCCACGTTGGTGAGATGGAGGGAGTTTGCTATTTTTTCCAAGGAAGAGGTCGAAGATGGTTTGTCCATATGTTTCGAGGACAGACTGGATGAGAAACCTGAAAACAGTATTGCTTTGGGTGGTTTGCTAATTGCAGACCATGAACCTCCCGAAGCGACAATCAAAGAGGTTCTTCGTGTTGCTTGGAATAATATGGGACCTGTAAAGGTTGTTAAAGCAAAGGCAAATGTCTATTCCATAAGAGCATTTCCAGCAAGGGGCCTTGGGGGAGGGCTGGGGGGGGGGAGGAGGGAAGCCCAAAATGGTGATTCCAGCAACA